AAGAATGAGAAAAGAAGTGAGGGGTAATTAAAGATCCAAATTTGGGGTTACCATTCATTGAAAGTGTAATTTGTCCTGTGGATCTGTACACAATGTTCTGTTTTGGATGCAACTCTGCAAGAAATTTTACTATGCTTGTAAAAGGGCATTACAAAAAACAAAAAATCAGTTGGGGTATCTGCAAAACAACTGGCTACAGTTTTCAATCAGAATGCATTATATACCTGACAGCCAATCATTGAGTCAGATAACTAAAAAATACAGCTATTCGAACACAGCACACATCATACTGTATATTTCAAATGTTATATATTTTTCTTTTTGCGCAAGTCTATCTTGGGATGATAAACTCATGAACCCAGCTTTGAAGTACATGTCTGTAAATCACGGCAAAGACAATTATATATTTGTAATTGTGTAATGAATTTAAGGCAAATTTTATTAGTGACGGTCATAAAAAAGTCAACGTGGCATTGATTATTAGTTCGCACTTCAGAACTGCTTATTTAAAATCAGTTTATTGTAGTCAGTTAAATTGCTGTAGTGTAACACAAACAGTTATAGTAGATGTGTTTACGTTAAACAATTTGCATCTTATTTGTGTTTATTCTTCGTCTTTTATTATAAGACGACAACTAGTACGAAATTTGATAGGGAAGTGGAATAAAGGTAAAACATTTTTGTTTTTGACAATTAAATAAAGGTTCTTATCTTGTTCTTTCAGGTATCAACGGTGGCTGGTTTCAAATGTTCAAGAAGGTGACTTTCCAAAACATCATTTACACTGTTGAAAAAGTTCCCCTCACATTTTTTGCTAACACGAGAGACAAACTCAAGTAAGTTATGTTGCTAACATTTACTGTGGATTTGATTATTAGATCAGCTATGCTGAATGTTACCTCAATCAGCGCGTTTAACTAAACCAAGTTTACCGGATTTAAAATCTGTGACAAAATTCTGTAGCCAAAATCAGTTAATGGGACGAAAACATTAACCTGCTTGCTGTTTTAATGGAAAAAAATCTCGCTAATTAATTAAGAGAGATTTCAGACTAATTATCAATGTAGGTTTGAGTCAGATTTCGAGATATGATGTCACATCAGGGTAGCAAGAGACCTGCTCCTTGAAAGATGGGTCACTCAGCCAAAGTTGTGCTGGCTGGCAAACCCAGGGGTCTCTCTCTTATAAGCCTAACCCTATGCCAGAAACGGGTTGTTACCTGTAGGTTTTATGATCGAAACTGCACGCACATCTAAAAGAAAGTATTACTTTAACGTACTTGCACAATGGTTGTAAGAAAATTGTTTGGTTGGTTGGTGTCTTTGCGTTATCCGAAGATGCTGTAAATTGTCTTGTTACAAATTTTGTGCTGTGAGAATGATATTTTTGTTGGTGAGAAATTTTGTTAGACAGAAATGCAGAGAGATGGGTGTGAGAACTGACCTGCAAAGGAGTTGGGTTCTCCAAGTATATTTTTTCTGTGGCCCCTGTGTTTCTGTGTCCTTACCATAGCGTGATTTTCACATCAAAACAGTTCAAAATAGAAACTTGCCTGGTTTGAAGTTAGACTGTCTGCATCAGCATGATGCAAATTGATTGAATTGAGCTAGCGTTAGTACCAACCCGCTAAATGAAAAGGAAACACTGTTCAAATAATGTTCTTACCCTCCACAGCTTTAAAAACCAAAGTTGTTCAACTTAAGGTGGCTGGTACCAGTTTTCTCGCGCGGGGAGTAGATCGTCATCGTGCGTCACGCGTGAGTAACACGCATGATAGAGGCGCGAGATTTAAAACCCGAAAGACCAAAACAAATAGGGCGGCGCGCGGCTTTTTTCGCGGAAGGTCACTTTTGTAATGTTGGAGACGAAATTCGCATATAAAGGAGGCTTTACCTGCTAGAACAACTTAAGTCAACTCTGTGTTTT